GTAACAGTTCTTGCTTTTCCTGGAAAAACCTGATCATTCAGGCAAGCCTGCAGTGAGAAGAATTGGCTAAACTAAACTGAATAAAGTCTAATAAATCTAGTTTTTTTAAAGGTGATATTAACCCCACAAAGCCTTACAAACTAGAGTAGGCTACAATTTCCAGATGAATAGATGCAAGCGGAAGAACACATTTCAGATAACAACAAAGGTCAAATGTCCACTGCAAGTAAGGACTAGAAAGTGGAGAGTCATCTGGAGACAGAGGATGTGGGGTAGAAATCCTAACAAAACTTGAAAATCAGGCACTTAAAAAAACAATTATAAAATAATCTGTCTCTTAGCTTATATCTTCATCAAGACCCTTGAAAAGCAATTGTTTTGTAAGAGTACTTTGCAATAAGAAAAAACATGTAAAACTCCAGTGGAAAAAAAATTTAAAAATTAACTTTACTCGTTTGCTCAAAGAATACACAATTGATGTCATTTGATTTCCCAGTATAATGCTGCACATTATCATTATTGCCAGCATTAATGGCTGCTTAATTAATGGAATGTACTGTACATATTATAGAACATATGTCTGTATTCCACTAGATGAGAAGAGAATTGGGAGTGTTTGACGAAACACTGGCAGCAACTTCTTTCTCCTCGGAAGCAAACAGGCAGCACCAGCTTTCCCAGTCCTAGGAACTCAGCATCTCCTGTCTGTGTAACTTTAGATACACTGATATGGCTGGCCAAAAAGATAATAGATGATAGAGATACAGACATAGATATAGATAGATATTGAATCAAAGGCAAAACATGAAGGAAAAGAGAAGATGGTGATTATTTTCACTAAAATGCTTTCAGAAATACTTTATTCCCATTAATGAATTTTGTATGTAAATTATATGTATTTAAGGTGAATTGAAGGCCGTCTATATTCATTAATCATTCCTTGGTGCACAGTATTTCTTTATCTAATAATATAAAGATGTCTGCAACTGAAATTGAATCATTGCTTTCACTTTGTTGTATAAGTGAAAGACAGAAGCAAATAATTTGTAAACAAAGCTTCAATTTTCCTCTTTGCATTCTACTCCTAGATAGTTTCATCTCAGTATGAGTCCAAAGTTGGTGCAAATGGAGACTGAAAACCCTGCATCAACAGTCAAACACAGAAATTGGAATAGGCAAATGGAATTATGAGCTACCTCATTTATGCAGTCCAGACATGACTTCTGCAGCCTACAAAGGGAAACAAATACTGAGCCCTGCCATTCATCTTCCTAACAGATATTAGAAACTGTCCTTAGGCACCAGAGACAGGGAAAAGCCTGTGGTATACAAAAACTAATCCAACTCTTTCTCTCCTTTCTTTTCAGTTTAATATGACTTAAAAGAAAAAAGTAACAGCTTTGAATGCAAAAATAGGAGGGTGTTAGGTCACAAAAATGAGCATACAATGTGAGAGTGAATATTCAATTTGGGATCAGGCAGCAGCTTCCTTCCAACACTCAAACTATTCTTATGAACATGTGTTATGTGTATGTGGAGACCTTGAGCCTTGTTTACATCATGATTGGTTGGTTCTGCTTCATTCTCCTACACCTGTTCTGTTTCTCCCACACCTGGTCCTTGTTCAAGCCAGTCTCTGCTGTGTACCACCTACAGTGTGAGTCTATTCATAACTGTAGTTTTGCTGTTCGGTAATTCTTAAGATAGATTTTTCAAAGAGAGAAGAGATGAAAGATGCTGTATCTGTGGCGTGGTTTGCAGAAGATCTTGCATTTGATCATCCTGCTCTATAATCCTTTTTCCTATGATTGTCATGGTTACTACCTTAAGGTACCAATTTATTCAAACCATTCTTTAATTGAGGAATAAGGAGATGGCCCAGAATCTGAACTCTGATCCCCTCAAAGAATATAAAACCAGGTAGAGCAGTGTATATTTGCAATTCCCGGGCTTGAGGACAGGCAGATATTCTAGAAAGCCTGGAACTTGCTGGCTAACAAGCTCAGCTATAGGACTAAAGACACGCCATATACCAAAAAGCACAGAGGAGGTTGGAGGTCAGTAAATCAAAGCACACAAAGTGGGCATGTGGCCTACACATATACATGTGTCTACTGACACAAAAACCACAGCTCTCATCTTAAAGGGACTAAGAGACCATTTATTCCAGAACCATTTTGAATGCTCATCCTGACTGGATACCATAGATTTAGGTGATCCTTAATCCTATGGTTCAGTGTGGAAGTAATTTTTTGTAGTTTTACAGAACAAAGAAACTCATAAATCAAGGCTACTTTGACATTGTTGAATACATTAGAGAGACAGGTGCAGTGAGATGGAGGAAGTTTTCCTATAGGCCCAATATGATTTCTAAACTTTTGAGTTGGTGGATGCTAGTGATCTGCTAAATTAATTAATTCCAAGAAACTTTTACTTATAGGTCACAGCATGTTAATTCTGACACAGAAATGGGCAAGGAATTCCAAGGGCAAGGGTGAGAGTCTAGTACTAATCCAATAAAAGGTGACTAGTCTTTGAAGTTGACACATTGTAATTTCTGCACAGTGGTAAAATTGTCATTGTTATTTGCTCTCTGCAGACACAGCTTATTTTCACAAGTTTTCATTCACATACCATACACACGCACACACACGCACACACACACACACACCACCCTGTCTCCATATACATCTGGAGATCACTTTAAGAACTGTGAAATTATCATAAACTATGTTGGAGAATAACACTAGACTTGAACTGTAGAGGCACATTCTCTTCACTCACAGAAACTTTGAAGAACAATTTTAACAGCACAATGGTTTTAATCAATAACCCACTCTTTCCTACTGCCATCTAAGAAAGACAAATTTATCTGTAACCTTGCTCATTGATGTTCAAAATAACCTCAAAACCACCTAGTTCTGTTATAGCTTTGTAAAGACTAATATGAAAATGTCATAGCTGCAGTGAACTTACCTATTAACTGATATCATGACTTAAAAATGGGAAACATCTCCTTTATGTTTCTTCACTTTATGCATTTTGGCACATGACTCAGTGTACGTGTAGCGGGCAGAGGGCAAACTGAGAGAACCAATTATCTCCTACCATGTGTCTTCTCAGAATCAGACTCAGATTCTATATCCTGATGACAAGAGCCTTTATCCAAATGCCACCTCCAATTGCTTCCTATTCACAAAATATTTCTCATTATCAATAATAATAACTGAATATCTTAGAAATATGCATCATCTCTTTATTTTATTATCTTATCAGCAAACTGTTGATTTACTTAATGATTAGCTCATGCATAAATTAATACAGCCACTTATTTAATTAAACAAATGACAACATTGTAGGTAAGCATTATCATCTAATGTTTAAACATGGGTTGTGCAGAAAGCAGTAAAGGTTGGAGTAATTTCCTTATTGCTTCACTTAATGGGCTGTACCTATCTGGGAAACAAGGATACAAATGTTTGCATCTGGGGTGATTATAAAGTTTTATTGTTAATACATGGCAATTGCTGTTGGAGGCTTGACATTTGATCAAGATGTGTTTTAACACAGGTGTATCAGAACACACATAATTGGCTTATTTTGTGTGTATGCATGTTTATATGTCCATGTGTGTTATATACATGTATATACATGTATATATATATATATATATATAAATGAACACATACTGTGCATGAATATGAATGTCAGGGGTCAGTCTTGAGTGTCTTCCTCAACTACCCTCAACTGTGTTTTGTAGTTTGTTTTACAAGACCGTTTCTCGGTTATAACAGGAGATCATTAATTAAAGAAGGCCCAGTGTCCAGGAGTCCAAGGATCTGTCTGCTTCTACCGTCCCAGCACTGAAGCACAAGCGAGTTCCACCATGTATTTCCTAACATAATCTCTAGAGTTTTATACAAGTATAAAAAGCACTTTAATGACTGAGACATCTCCAAAGCCTTCATTTATGGATGGGACCTTGTAAGATCCCTCCATCTACTTTATGGTGTTAGCTGTTATTGTGAATGCCATGTTTAGGTGTTCATTGATCTTTGACTTCACAGATTGTGTGTTTATTCTGTTGATAATTACATGATTCTCTCTCTATCTATCTATCTATCTATCTATCTATCTATCTATCTACCTATCTATCTCTATCTCTATCTCTCTTACTCTCTCCCTCTGTGTGCATGTGTGTATACCTGCTTTGTTATCATATAACGTTTTTTACAAAATGAACAGCCAACCCTGATTTCTTGCTAGCTTTCTCTGATACATTCTTAAATCTCTAATACACTCTTAAATCTCCTTGAAATACATTATTGGAGAAACTTTCCAATAAAGTCCTATCTCTGAGAGTAATCGAGCAAATAGAAATTCTATATTGGTTACAAAATATATGCTAGCATGTAAATTAGTTGAAAGTGGTGAATAGTGAAATTAATCCCCAATGATACTAAGCATCTTAATTTGAGGAGAGTCTGGTAAATGTATGGTATTGTGATGCAGGAGAATTGTCTGTATTCTGTCAATCATTTTAATAAAACGCTGATTGGCCAGGCAGGCAGTATAGGCGGGAAAGCCAGACAGGAAGCAGGGGTGGAGCAAAGAGACTGGGAGTATTCTGGAAGCAGAGCTCCCTCCAGCACTCCTGCACAGACCACCGAAGAGGCAGCATGTAACTTGCCCAGCGGAGAAAGGTACGGAGCCAATGTGGCTAATGTAGATAAAGATAATGGGGTAACATAAGTTATAAGAGTTAACAAGAAGCCTGACCTAATGGGCCAATCAGTTTATAACCTTATGGAGTCCTGTGTGTGATTTTCTTTGGGGCCTGCCAGCTGTGGGGTACTGGGCGGGACAGATACCCCAACAAGCCGGCCCTCATGTAACAGTATTGGGTAGTCTTACAACAATGGTCTTGTAATAAATTTTTCTTAAATAAAAGATAAGAGCTGAATGAGTTGAGTGCCTTTATTAATGCCTCTTTTCTATATATTTCAAAGTAACTTACCAAAATAAATCAGAATTCAAGATACATCAATGACATTATTTTATTCTTCAGGCAAAATGCACACATTAGCTGTTAACAATACTTTAAAAGGCCATACTTAATATTCCATTTCATTTCTTCCAGTTCTGCTTGCAGTGTCAGACTTTAATTTTGCATTCAGTATTTTAGAAGAGTAGAATTTTCTTCTAAACACTGTGATCCATATGTGTGTAGTTATGAATTTCAAGCAATGTGCCTATAATGAAAGAACATGACTCAAAGTTATATACTAAAAAAATATTACAAAAAAACCTTATTTCTTAGGGTTACAAGAACAATGTATTCCAACTTTATAATGTATATTTATTTATAAAGGAAAATCACTTAACAGGATGGATAGCTGATGTGAGAATCCCCCTCTGTATACTGTGAATATCATTGTTTAATAAAGGAATTGTTTTAGCCCCATAGAAGAACTATAGAGGAACAGATATAGGGCAGGGAAAGACAAACTGGATGCTGGAAGGAAGAAGGCAGAGTCAGAGAGAAGCCATGTAGCCCCACCTGAGTCAGATGGAACAGTACCCAGTAAGCCACAGACCCATGCACATGGGTTAAATTAATATGTAATAGCTAGTCAAATAAAAAGCTAGAGATAATGGGCCAAGCAGTGACTTAAATAATGCAGTTTCTGTGTGATTATTTCGGCACTAAACGGCTGGGAACCAACAAGTGGCTTCCTCCAACAAATTAGTGTTCACGTGGCCAACTAAAATCCACTTAAAACCTGACAAAGCTTAAGAAAGAATCCTAGACACAAAATAACAGAGTTAAGCATGGTTTGGTAACAGCATTTTCTTGGTTGGGCTCTGTTTGCTGGAAGCATCAGAGGCATGGCTCCTTTAAGAGAGGTTTTCCTGACTTATGCTGGCTACCAAACCATGGCTTTCTGGGCTGTAATGGCTATACCTGTTTACACTCTCAAAATCAGTGTGTGATGTCACTCTTTTCCTACATCCTCACTGGCAGCTGTTACTTGTGTTTTAGATAAAAACTATTCTTACTGGAGTGAGATGGAACCATAAAGTATTTTGACATTCCATTTCCCTGACAGCTAAAAGTTTGGAAAAAAATTCTGAAGTTTTTGGGCATTTGTGTCTTTTCATTTGAGGACTGCTTATTTAGTTGATCAGTGCATTTGCAGATTAGGAGGTTGCATGAGAGGGATGGGGTGTTAAACTGTTGCATTTCTTTATATTCTAGGTACAAAATCCCGAATGCACAGTTATCTCGAATTTTCTCCCGTTCTGGAGTTTGTCTTGTCACCCTGGTGATCGTTTCCTCCACAAAACAGAAGGTTTCTCAGGTGTTTCCATTTATTATTGGCATCACTCTTAATGCTAGCACGAACCCTTTTCAGAAAATTACTGCCAATACCTATGTCTTAAAGAGAAACAGATAAATGTGGAAATGATGATGTTAATGGAAATAAGCCACACCGAGAAAGACAAATACTACATTTTCTCAAAAAAAAATGGATCTTATTTTTAATCCCATTATATGTCCTGAAAGCATAAAGGAAAGCTTAGACCTTGATTGAGAAAGAGAGAGAGAGAAAGAGAAAGAGGGGAGATCTTAGGGAGAGAGTTAAAGAATATGGTAACATGAAAGGAAGAAACTATAAAGGAGGAAGAAAGGAATCCTCTCAGGATGAGACAAAGACAACAGAGCGTTTGGAAGTATAAAGAGGACGAAGAAGAATGTATTGTGAAAATGCTATGATTTCTTTGTATGCTAATTTTAAAAACTAATAAGTAAGTCTGGACAGATACCTTAGTTGGTAAAGTAATTGCCCAGGGAAGTACTTTTCTCCTGTTTAGATTACCAGAAGCCACTTAAAAACTCAGTGAGTTATGCCTGTATATATATATATATATATATATATATATAAAACTCTAGCCTTGATACATGTGGAGAGGAAGGAATTGGAGACAGATAGATTCCTGAAGTTCATTGTCAACTTATCTACCCTGATCAATACACTACAGACTCAGTAAGAAACTCCTCCAGGACTTGAAAGCAAACAAAAGGGTACCTCCTGGTACTCCACTCCACATGCCCTCACAGTCCCTTAGATCTACCACAAGTTTGATGACCAGTGCTTTGGCATAGTATAACCATCTGAACTAGATGAACAACTCTAACTAGACTTTGACCAGGACATGTCCCATCTACAATTAGTCTACAATATCCCGATGTATGATTCCAAACTCTCTGCCAAGTGAAGCCAATTTATCCTCCTGTGGTGATTTGAATTAGAATAGCCACAATAGGCTTTTATGTTTGAATGTTTGGTCCTCAGCAAGTGTAACTGCTGGAGAAGTACTAAAAATTGTTGTCTGGTTGGAGAAGTATGGACTTATTGTTGGAAAAGGTGTGTCACTGATGGTGGGCTTTAAGGTTTCAAAAGCCCATGCCGACCTCAGTACTTCCTGCCCCCTGTCTGTCTCTCTGTCTCTCTCTGTTTTCAATTTGCAGATCAGGCAATCTCTCAGCTACTACGTCAGTGCCTTGCCTGCCTGCATGCCAGCAGAAAGCCCCACAACGGCGATCATGGATGCACCCTCTGAAACTGCAAGCATGCCCCCAATTAAATGCTTTCTTTAAAGTTGTTTCAGTCAATGGTGTTTCCTCACAGCAATAGTAGCCCTAACTAAGACAGAAGTTGGTACTAGAAGTGGTGTCTTGCTGAGACAATCCTGATCACAATGCTGTTTGAAGGAATATGAAAGACTTGGGACTTTACATTTTAAAAAGCAGTTGAATCCTTTAAGCAATGCTAATGAGACATCCTAGCAGGAGTGTGAAAATTAGTAGTTTTGAGAACAATGTAGACTATGGAGGCTCAGCTCAGGAGCTTTCACAGGAAAGAATATTACTAAGTGGCCTAGAGACCATTCTTGACAAATTTTTTCAAAGAATGTGGCTGTTATCTAAAAAGTCTGTCAGAGGCTAACTTGAAGAGCTGTGAACTAGTACCATTGGCAGAGGAATTTTTGCAAGGTAGCTGAGAATGGATAGCATCCCAAGGTTATTAGTGGTCACTCTTATTCAGATCTACAACAAAAAGGAGCAGACACGGGCACAGTACTACTACGAATACAAATATCAGTCCCTAACCAACAACAGAGCAACAGCACTTAATATACAACCTTCAGTTAATAACTCTAAACAGTATTGACCTCAATTCTACATCCAAATGACACGGGATTGTCAAACAGATCAAGAAACAAATCTATCAATCTGTGCTCTACAAGAAACGCATCTTAGCTCTAAAGATGGGCACAGCCACAGAGTGAAAGAATGAACAGAAGCCCTCTAATCAAAGAGGACTAGCAAGTGGGCACTGCTGTGCTAGGATCTGAAAAAGAGGACTGAGAGGCAAACAGGCACTGCTATCCTAGGATCTGGCTAAATAGACTTTGAAGCAAAATTAATCAGAATAGATTTTAAAAGAACATTTTATTCTAAACAGGTATCCAGTGTGACTTCAGAATCCTAAACATAAAGGCACTAGACTCTGGTATACTTAGTTTCATTAATATGCACTATTGGAATTAAAGATACAAATACAATCCATTAATACAATCCATTAATAATAATGGATACAATCCATTAATAATGGTGGCATCAATAATCCACTTTTGTCAATAGACAGATCACCTTAATAAAAAATAAACAAGAAAAGAAACAGAATTAAATTGCTTCATATATCAAATGGACTTAGCAGTTATCTACGCAAACAAAAGGGAATACACATTTTAATCAACAGTATGTGGGCATTCTGACATAGAGCAATCCTAGAAAACAAATCTTAACAAATTCAGAAAGACTGAAATAACTACATATGTCCTAGATAACTGTAATGCAATACAACTTAAAACCAACAGTAAACAAGTCTCTAGTAAGTACACAAACTAATGGATGTTTAAAAACTAATTGTTGAATAATGATGAGCCAAAGAAGAAATCAAGAACGAAGTAAAAATATATCCTGGAAGTAAATGGAAATGCAAGCTCAACACAGGAAAATCTCTGTGACACATAGAAAGTGCTTTATATTAAATTGCTTATTTTTAAAAAATCAAAAAGAGAGCAAATAAATGACTTAATTATTCAACACAAACATTTGGGAATTGGGAACAAACTAAATCCACACTCAAGAAATAATCCAGGGCTCTGGAATCTCCAAGATCTTGGGGTGGTCTCCAAAACAATCCAGGCTTCAACTTTGCAGCTTCACTAAATGGCCTCCCTAGAGCTTCATTCAGGGACACCCCTGACACATGCCTAACCTCAGCAGCCTTCTGTAGTCAAAGACTCTCAAAGCTATTGCTGTTGTATTTGGTTGTTTTCCAGAGCTTTAAGGGAAGTCTCCTTATGTGTGTCTCCTTGGACACAGGACCTGCACCATCTGAGCTGGATGTGACGTGAAAGCCAGCTCCCTGAGGACTAGCTCTAACTTACCGCTACTTCGGTCAGTTGTATTTATTTATTTAGTAATGGGGGTGTGTACCTCTGTGTGTGAATGTGTGTAAAAAACAATAAAAGAAAAATAGGGTATAAATTTTAAAGAGAACAAGGGCAGCAAGGGAGGAGTTACATGGGATGAGTTGGTGGAAGAAAAAAGAGGGGGGAATGATGTACTTATATTTTAATTAAACAATAAGTTTTAAAGGCCTTAAAAGTAACAATAAATAAATATGGATAAAAAGAGGTAAGAAGTGCCCAGCATCAACCTTGGACACACACACACACACACACACACACACACACACAGATGATATAGACAAAGTACAACACAAACAGTGGTATGTGCTTATAATGCCAGTACTGAGAAAGCTGAGACAAATAAATCTATGGAACTTACTGGCCAGCCAGTCTAGCCTACTTGGCAGGTATCAGGCAAGGAAAGATACTGAATTCAGAAAAATCCAACATCTTAGAAATGACACCCAAGGTTTGCCTCTAGATTCACGGAGCACACATATATATGAACCTACATGTGGTTTGTGAACATCCACACGAAATCACATGCATGCCCACATAAATCTAATAAAACATTCTTAAATTTGATTTGAAGTACCTTGATAAAGAGAGACTAGTTGAATTAAACACAAAGGTGAATGTTTACACAGCAATGCAAAAATAGGAAGCAAAGTAAAATGAAGAGAAAGAGAGAGAGAGAGAGAGAGAG